CAACAAGATCCTCGATCATCCTCTAGAAAAGACATAACCGGTATGACAATGTTACGGTCTGAAAGTGTAAAGCGGGAGCCGCTGCCTCTCGCAATCCAAAAAACAAACACAATGTCATCTGGCTTGTTGAGGAGGCTAGAAATCGACTCTTACACGTTAGCCCCAGTGTGTAACTGATGCCCAGACTCATATTTTGTACGAAAAGCCCAATGCGCAGCTCTCTTGAGCAGAACCATGCGTGTGGCTCGCTGCAGCGACAGTGACATCTAGTTATGCACTGCTTCACCACATGCTTCACCTAACCACTGCGTATATCTGCAAAACAAAACGCGCGAACACCGTCGGATATCGATCTACTTGCCAACCCTCCCCGAGCCTACACTCAACACGCCTCCTTCTCAACCATTGCAATGTCGGCTGTACACAACATCAGCTTTTCTTGGCTTCCCGGTAAGACCCCGTTCAAGTCAAATATCCGAAACCATGACAGTCGACCCACAGCCGAATTTTACTGTAGCAGCAGTCAACAGACCGATTCGCTTAACAGCACGGCAGTGAGATCATTATCCAGATGCTTACACCAAGTACAACAGCATCCTACCCTTGCGTCACTAGACAAGTTGCCCCACAAGCTCTCCTATAATGCTCTGCACAAGAAGAAAGGAGCTTTACATAGAAAAGTTGCACCACCAGACGCCCCTCCACCTCCTCAAGCCTGCCGGAACTACCATCTGTCTCAGAGTTACCACATGTACAAGAGTGCGCATACGTTTAACACTCTTGACTCCCTCAGAATATGGGTGGGCTTCTGAATCTCCGGATGCAAGTATGCACCCCTCTACATCAGACAAGCAGCTGGCACCTCCCCAATTCCTGCTCAGACCATTAGCTGTGGCGTGTAAAAGCGTACTGATTTCTGGCTTGACAACTGACCTGAGCAACCAGACTGTAAAGTAACCGCGCAACCAGGAAACCGGAGCATGCATGAGGAAGATCAAGTGATCGTAGACCGCTCGAAGCAAAGATGTCCAGAGAGATCTGACTTTTCCAATTTATCGACTAAAACCTTGTTAGCTAACTATAAATTCATAATATATACTAATTATGTACTATAAGTTATGCATATACTAGCGACATTTTGATAGCTTCGCGTTGATTTCGGACATCTGCTAACTAATTTTTTTTAGAGGCCATTAGACTGTTACTCTTCCTGACGCATCTCTGATTAAATAGTTCTGTTAATTAATAGGACAGAATTATATTCTATTGTTCCCCCTGTATCAATCAAATCCTATGTGTATATTTCTTTATCGCAGATCTCGGCCGTTAGTCCGAGATTCGTTAAAGCTGCATAATCAATACTTGTTTAAATTTAAACAGAACGCGTATGGCTTATTAATGATCGATCTATAACACTTTTTTAGGAATGAATAATACTTCTGCAGCTGTTAAATAACACCATGAATTCTCATCGGGCATCCAAAAAAAAACCAGAAACATAACCTAACATGCCAATATGTCCAAGAAAACACCGCAAATTTTGTACGCGGACTGAGCTTAATGAGCTTAATTCGTCAATTAAGCATTAAACCGTTCCAATTTATGAATAAGAACTGTTGAATCGCACTCCCGTCCCAAAATACCCCTATACAGGTATAACATGACTATAAAGTGTTCAGTAAGATTTACCACAATTTCCCATAATCGCGAAAATCTGAAAAAAGCGCGTGCGCCCGTAAAAAAGGTTCCGACCAACCAAAAAATTTTTATAAAAAACTTTTTTTAGCTTTTTTATGGACAATACCAACACATTAGTGAAGAATCCAGCTTGTTTCACTCATTTTCCTAGAGTGCTCACTTTATGACTCGCGACTAAACCAAGTAAAAATAAAAAACAATGATTATAATAAAAATCTTATTCCCACCACTTTAATAATCTCTCCTATCTGCGGTAAGCATGCGCGCCACATAACCACGCCCGCACACGCACGCATACACACACACACGCAGACGATAGAACCACGATCGACGGTTCCCTAGTAACTGCATGAAAACCGCCGCCGCCGCCGCCGCCGCCGCCGATGCCGCTGTTGCTAAGTTTCGGGCCAACGATAACCAAACAAGATTATTACTATAGGCAATGCATGCCTTAGCTACGCACAATTCTCCTCGTGAGGCAATACTAAAGCAAGTAATGACTAATCCAACGTATATGACTAAGAGTTAACTAATCCAACGTATATGACTAAGAGTTAACTAAAACCAACGTATAATGTCTAAGAGTTAACTAATCCAACGTATATGACTAAGAGTTAACTAATCCAACGTATATGACTAAGAGTTAACTAATCCAACGTATATGACTAAGAGTTAACTAATCCAACATGACCGGACTGGAAATACATATTACGGACCGGAAGAACGAACGGACGTAATGACGTGACAAGTGCCGGGTGTTTTGGTTTAAAAATATCGGTAGCGACGGTTGCATGAAACCAATAGAAAGCTATTTAGATCCCTACCTCTCTCCGTTGTAGATGAACCTGAGCTCGCGGCACCTCCTCCTCCACTTCGATTTTGCTTCCCAACCATCTCCGCAGCCGGCGACCGACCGCCCCAGCAACGGCCACCGCCCGACGTCGCGACACGACGCACTGCCAGACGGAGCGCGACCCAGCACCGCTACGGTGACGAGAGTGCGCAACATGCTGGCGTTGTGAGTGCGTGGCGAGTGTGGCGATGTTGACCGTAGTCGGTTGCGGTCAAACGCCTATAACGCTGCCTAGCATCGCCGCCGTATCGCTCGCAGCAGACGCACTTATCATCCCCCGCCCCTGCCGCCGCCTCTCTGCCGCTAACTGCAAAGATACAAATCAGCTGATGGGATCGAGCCCCTAATCTGTGCCGGCCGTCACATACACTAATACATGAACAACGTAACGTAAACCCGGTGATTAGTGACCGCTGGAGATGCGCAGCTGGAGAGGAAGGAGGAGCGGGGGAGACGGTGTGTGCGAGGCTTACGCAACCCACTGGCGTGTGTACTACTCCCCACCTCACCCCACCCCTTCTTCCCTTTGAATATCTTTCTTGAATTCTCTTAAGTATCCTTGAAATGCGTCCTTCCAGCGATCAATTTTGTTTTGAGTAATGCTCGTGAATAATATTTAAATATATATATATATATATTATATATATATTGTATTATGGAGCCAGGCGAAACAATAACACAACCGCACTAATCGCGCGCCGAATGCCCGTTTAGCGGCTCATTGATATGCCACATCGTAGACAGGCGTTATTCTATCTGAATCGTTAATAGTCCGTATACGCTCGCTGAGATACACCGTTGCTACAACGTCTGTCAGTACAACACATAAAACAACAAGAAAGAGACGATATGTACGTATTAACGCAAAGTAATATTTAATGAACCATAATATCTTAACTAATGTGCTATAATCCCACGACGTGGTAGTGTCGCGTACATATGTTAGCGCGTGACATTGAAACGTAACTACGATTCAACAGTTGCATAACGCGTCCCAGAGACGATGTACGAGGTAGTTATAGACATATGAAAACAGAGAGAATTCAGAGGATACCCCGCCAACATTCGTGCGCGCGGTTTTATACGTCGTTCGCGCTCTATTGTCTTTTCTCCTGGCCAATCGGGCCTTATTCGCTCGCTAACATGGCTGTTCGCATGGCTGCCGACTAATTCCGCGTCCTCAGTCCCAGCGTTCAAACAAAACCCGGACTCAAGCTATTTCCATTCACTCTCTCATTGTTCTTAATTTCCACTAGCCGCATATATATAGAACGAGCTTTATCCTTGCGGCCCGCTTTTCATAACTACTTATCATTCTAATTTCTCGCCTCATTACACACAACTCCCCACATATATCGACGAACTATATATATATCATAAACCCCGCTCACACCCTGTTGCTAGCTCTCTTCTCTCTCTCCTCTCTCTCTCTCTCTCTCTCTCTCTCTCTCTCTCTTTCTCTCTCTCTCTCTCTCTCTCTCCTCCCTCTCTCTCTCCCTCTCTCTCTCCTCGCTCTCTTGCTCGCTCTCTTCTCTCTCTTTCTCTTTCGTCTCTATCTCTCTCTTCCCCTCCTCTCTCTCTCTCATCTTCTCTCTCTCTCTCTCTCCTCCCCTTCCCTCCTCTCTCTCTTCTCTCTCTCTCTCCGCTCTCTCGCTCATTTGCCTCTTCTCTCTCTCTCCTTCCCTCCTCTCTTCTCTCTCTCTCTCTTCTCGCGCTCTCTCTCTCTCCTTCCCTTCTCTCTCTCTCTCCCTCTCCTCTCTTCTCTCTCTCTCTCTCTCTCTCTCTCTCTCCCCTTCTCTCTCTTTCTAACGCGTAGGCGCGGCGCACCCACCCACAAAAAATCGCCGCGCTAAAACACCCTCTAATCCGGCTAGGGATAACATTGCGCATTGCTGGTACATTGCGCAATAAATGTCAACACGAAACAATCAGTTTAAACTGATAAAGGGGGTTAACTCGACAGGGGCGGGTCGGTGGATCCAGTTTCGGCCGGTTTTTGTTTGTTCGCGGCAGCGGCGAGTGAGATATGTGTGTTTACCGAGTTAAGGAGCAATCCAGGGACGAAGGGCGGGTAATTTTCCACTCGCGAGGTGGAGAACTATACGCGAGAAGCGGTTGCTGTGTCATGCTTACTCATGGATCGAGTGGGCGACATATAAATATGTTTTCATCTCGGGGGCACTCCCTATATATTGCATGGGAGGTATGTGCCGCGGTTATGATCTACCTTTTCCACCTCAACATTTCCGCACCGGCGACCCCCCTTTTCACATATTTCCCGTCCCGGAGCATCATGCTTTCCAGCAAAACCCTAGTTCCGAAGACCCCCATTTTGATACGCTGAGTTAGTACCGGAGCCCCCCAATTCCATCTCTTAAATGGCACATATGCCTACCCTATTTTGTAGGAAGTGCCCCCCCCATGGGTTCTCATCTCGGGTGATGCTCCATTAGGAGCGTTCCCAACTTTAATGTCATTAATGTCGTGATATAAACGATTTTATATAAGGGGGAGGGGATCGATATAAATTAGATATCAAGAGGGGGTTAGATATGAAATAGATATCAAGGATAAATAACGATATAAAAGAGCTATTAAACTTGCGCGCCTTGGCTGCGCGAGCAAGCGAAATACAGAGTGGGGGCATGTTCGTTTTGTTTCGCTGGACTTCGCTGGACTTCGTTGCTCGAGCAAGCAAAATACAGAGCGCGGCCATGTTCGCTTCGTTTCGCTGGACTTCGCTGGACTTCGTTGCTCGAGCAAGCGAAATCGAGACGAGGGATATGTTCGCTTCGTTTCGCTCGCCTTCGCTGCGCGAGCAAACAAAATATAGAGCGGGGGCATGTTTGCTTCGTTTTGCTGGACTTCGCTGAACTTCGCTGGTCGAGCAAGCAACATTGAGAGTGGGGTATGTTCGCTTCGTTGCGCTGGACTTTGCTGGACTTCGCTGGTCAAGCAAGCAAAATTGAGACTAGGGTATGTTCGCTTCGTTTCGCTGGACTTCGCTCGACTTCGTTGCTCGGGCAAGCGAAATCGAGACGACGGATATGTTCGCTTCGTTGCGCTAGACTTCGCTGGTCGAGCCAGCAAAATAGAGACCAGGGGTATGTTCGCTTCCTTGCGAGGAAGAGAGAGGAAGAACGAGAGAAAGGGGGAGGAGAGAGAGATAGAGGGAAAGAGGTCGAGTGAGAGAGAATGAGCGAGAGAGAGAGAGAGAGAAATAGAAATCGTTAGAGAGGGAGACAGAGAGGTCGAGTGAGAAAGGGAAAGAAGGAGAGAGATGGAGAGAGAGGTAATGAGGAAGACAGAGAGAGAGTTAGAGGGAAAGAGCGAGAGGTAGAGTCAGAGACGGAGAGATAGAGTGAGAGAGAGGGAGAGAGAAAGAGGTAGAGTGAGAGAACGAGAGATAGAGGGAGAGAGGGAAAGAGAGAGAGAGAGCGAGAGTGTGAAAGAGAGAGAGAGGGAGAGGGTGAGAGAGAGGGAGAGTGAGAGAGAGAAAGAGGGAGAGAGGCAGTTTGTTAACAAATCTGTCTGCCAAATCTAATGGTCGATAATCGGCTTAGACACAGGCACTTGGAGCGTTTCAATAAAATATAATGCTAAATAAATACGAAATCAATTTACTAACAAAGTCTCAATGTTTCTATACTCTCTTTCACCTATTCTTGCCGACAATTTTCTGTAAACGCCGTCAACAAACGCTCAACAAACTTCTTCAACAAACGCTGGCTGCCGCCATTGCTGCCGCTGCACACTAACACATAAATATATAGTTTTATCTTTTTGTTTTTGTGTTTATTTTTGTGTGTGTGTTTATTTTTGTGTGTTATATATTTATGTGTATATATTTATCTGTTAGTGTGCGGCGGCAGCAATGGCGGCAGCAAGCGTTTGTTGAAGAAGTTTGTTGAGCGTTTGTTGACGGCATTTACAGGAAATTGTCGGCAAGAATAAGTAAAAAAGAGTATAGAAACATTAAGACTTTAGTAGTAAATTGATTTCGTATTTATTTAGCATTATATTTTATTAAAACGCTCCAAGTGCCTGTGGGCTCAGATCTTGCTTACACGTAGGATAGATCTACTAAAAAGAGAATTGTTGTTGTCTCTCTCTCTCTCTCTCTCTCTCTCT